TTTGTATGCTTCACATGGTGCATGTATAATAAAAGTAGCTTAATTTTTGAATGTATACTCGATATTTTCAATGTGAGCATGAACGCTTTCTTACGATATTTAAAATGTTTAATATCTCAAGAAAATTCCTGAAACTATTTTTCTACTTTTGTTCTAACAGTTTTGATTTTATTTTCCAGAGACTTCTTTCGCTCAATTAAACACTAGCTGTTTATACACATATGATTTTTTATCTTTAGCTGTCTAACAATGCTTGGCAATTAGATGCAGAATATTTTCAATTAACAAACTATGCTTGGTCATCGCCAACATTAAATTATCTAAAATCTAAAATAAGTGATGAATTAAATTTAAACAAAGATTGGAAAAATGAAATTTGGTTAGAATGTTCAAAATTAATTTTGTATGAAAAATGTTCAATATTTAAGGAATATGATGAAATAGAAGAAGATCTATCTAATGGATTTGTATTAGGAAAACTAATAATTATATTACCATCGTTTTATACTGGTGGCGAACATTATATTTCTCTTTCGGAAGAAAAGCATCTATTTGATTTTGCATGTAATGCTGATCAATATTCACATTATATTGCGTATAACGCAGCTCATGATTGTAAACATGAAATAAAACCATTGACAAGTGGTTATCAGTTAACATTATGTTATAATATTGTTATTAAAAAAATAAATATATCAATACCACCTATTATTTATTTAAATCCTGATTCTTGTAATAAAGAATTAGTAGAACAAATGGGTAACGTATTATTAACGTGGTATCAAAATAATAATTTTCCATCAAAACTAGTCATTCAATTGTCTGGTGAATATACAAGAACAACGATAACATCATTATTATCAAATGGAAAAGATCGATCAAAAGCAAATTTAATCTTGAAATCAGTACAAGAACAATATAAAAATACAAATAAAATTAATTTCTTATTATATTTTTGTACTCTAAAAGAAGAAGAAGAATTTGATCCTCGCTTAGAAGACTACGTGAACAGTGTTCTAAAAATTTCAAATTTAATGCCTATGAATATTATGTATCATGATAACGCATTTCCATTATCAAAATTATTTCATTTTAATGATAATTTCAAAATTATTGCATCATTTGATGAACTGATGGATTCTGAAACATTTTTTAGCTCAATGACTAATCATACATTTCTGCGTGTAAATGAAACAGGTAAATGAATATTTCTACTCAACTCTGCCCATTTCTTTTTATATACGGCTTTCACCTAGTAAAATCTCACGAAGCCTATCTCATAAAGCTCATCAAGATACACACATTTTTTAATATTTTTTTCGTAAAAAGTTTTTAACTTACTCATTAATGAGATTTACCATATGTTATTATATAATAGAATTCAACTGAATTCTATATCAGTAATTAAAGTAATTAAGCAAAAATTGACGAGATAAATGATGACATAAAAAATGCCTTGCGATCTAGTTACTATGAGCTATGACTGGAAATCACATTCTTTATAAAATTAACTCAATAAATCACATTTTTTTGCTATGATTCTACAAAGTTAGTTTCGATTCCTTTTACTTTTTCTCAATTACAGGTAATAATATTTTATTAAGTGATGATAATTATGGTGCATTATTATTAGTTCCTTATCATTTGAAATGGGAATTATTCATGGATGATCTTCCTCAACTTTATACCCAGTTTACCGAGATGTGTAAACAAATACCTAGAAGCTCAACGAGAATTGGTGTATTGATATTCAAAGAATGTATTGAATTATTAGATTGCTTATTGGAACGGAAAAATCAAAAATTTGATTTCGGGAAAATAATGAAATATTTAATGATATTATGCAGTATTCAGAGAACACTGGGTATCAGTGATGATAATTCTGTTATGAACGTAATAAAAAAATTTATGAAACATA